TGATGGCCAACACTTTGTTGAGTTTAACCGTTTTTGGGGTGGCCGTCGTCTCGCCGAACTCCCAGGACAGGACCCGCGTCTGTTCCCTGGTCGCCAAGACGCGGATCTTAAGCGGTGGGGGACCTGAAATAACGTGGACGTTGTCGTGGAAGACCTCCCGAATAGACATTCTGTAAAGAGGCAAAAAATACGAGTTAATATAAGGGTTGTCAAAATGATCGATACTCCAAAAAGTATGGATACTAAACAGCTGTACATGGATATCTTACTCATTTTCAAAAGAGTCAATACCACCTACGCCGCCCCCCGCTGACCTGCCGACGCTCTCTGATTTATTTTATTTATTTATTTACGTTGTTTATGATCATAAACGTGACGTTTTAACCTGGAATTGCTGGCTGTGGCTAATCGCTAATAATAACACGCCAACATTAATCAAGTCCCCCCCAAAAAAAGAAAAACATCAATAAAATCCTCATAAACTGGAAATATTATTTAGGAAAATAGCTAAATTTTACTCACTTACTTTTCTGAAAAGTCCGTTGTACAATGGCCTTGAATGGAAAACCTCAGAGCAAAACGAGCAAACGCACACCAAATCAGTAAATCGCACAAGAAATCATAAAATAGCGTAGTCTATTTATAGTTTGATAAAGTTGGCCGGTATCTGACCATCCAATCAGCGGAGTGAATACAGTAAGGCCTTCTACTTGAAATCTGATTGGTTAAAGCAACAGCGTACTCGACTTGGGTTGCGAAGGCCTCCTGGCAGACATCTTTGACTTTGACCCAGCCTAGCAACAAACGAGGAATCACGTGACTGGGTCGACCAATAGGGGCCGAGGCAGCAGAACTAGTTTGTTTTGGAGAGGGGGAGACACCGGCTAATCTGAAAAAAACACATTTGAGATTGAACGTCATTTTAATACTTGAATAATATCTAAATTAAGGCAAATATCATCATCACATGCGTTATTACTGTGCTTTTGTGTACGTGTAGAAATAAAAAACACCCAAAGATCCAAAATCATATATTTTGTTTTGTAAGAAAAAATGTCAATGATTTTAAAACTGCCATATTTAAAAAACGGCTGAATATTTTTAAGAGAAAAGTTTTAGGAAAAGTAATATATGGATAGCTGAATGGCTTGAGAGCCGTATAAAAGTTGAATTTTTTTTCTAGCTGAAAGTAGGCTGAAGTAGTTAGGGCTGAAGTAGGTCAAAGTTTAAGATGGAGTTGAAGATTTCTCCCATTGATTTCAATGAGAGCCAAAAAGCAAAAAAAGTTAAATGCCAGTAGGCATTCTCACAATAAAGAGAAACAGGAAAAGTATAGTGAGAATGCCAGTAGGCATTCTCATAATAATAATAAAGAGAAACAGGAAAGGCATTCTCACAATTAATATTTCACTATTCATTTGGAAAAAAAAAAAAATACAAATTAAAGGGCATAAATAAATAATGAGATTGAGGTTGAACTGTATTCACTTTTTAAATAGTTTTTGTTGGTATTTTCAAAGTAAACCCTCATCATGGCAATGAGGGACATCACAAATGAGGGGAGGGTCAAATATACCACAAGGTCTAACAGCTTCTTTTTGGTTGCATGGCACTCTGGCTCAGCCACACTTGTTACAGTTTTACTAATTTAAACCTCTCACATCATTTCTTTGAACTGATAAAAACTAAGTTTTTTGTCTTCATATTTGTCATACTGAGAGGAATTTAAAAACTTGAGAGGCATCCATGCTTTGATGCACATCATTGGGACCAGGTGGTAAAGTGGTTAGCATGGCAGCTGACCTGGGTTTGCTTCCCAGCCAGAGCAGCGACTTTAGGGCAAGGGTGTCAAAGTCCAGTCCTCGAGGGCTGCTTTCCAGCAGTTTTTAGACTTGTTCCTGCTTTTGCACACCTGATTCTGATTAAATCACACCCCCTTTGGCCATTGTTGAGCTTTGCTAACAACACTTTGATGTGAATCAGGTGTGTTGAATCAGGGACACCTCTAACACCTGCAGGACAACGGCCCTGGAATTTGACACCTGTGGTTTATAGCTACAAAAGGTGTGTGACCGCAGAGGAAAAAGTGGGTTTCACGCAGGACAGCTATAATTAAACCCATTATTAAAACATGGAGAAGAGAGAGTAACAGGTGAATAACACACATTCCTCCTCACATCACTCTGCATTTCTGAACAATGTCAGGTCATGATTGCTTAAAAGTCTTATAAAACTTGCGCAGTGACATTTCAGACCTTTCCAGAAATAGAGCATACTATGCATAATAACAAAATTCAACAATAAAGTCATAAAGATGAAAATAATGTCTATGCTGACATAAAATCTGTTTCACTATCCATTTTATTCTTTACTAGAATAAAGCACATTTTGTAATGATCAGATAAAAAAACAGACAGAGTTTAGCCTTAAAAAGTTTATTTGATTACTGGAGCTAGACAGAGGCTGGATTCAGCAGGGATCAGGAGACTCTGTTGGAAAAACCGGTCCACACTGATCCAGAATCAGTTCCAGGGACTGTAGAGTGGTGATGGTCAGTTTGAAGCTGGGCTCCATGGTTAATGGCACATGGAGGTATGGACCTCACAGCGCGAGCATAGCTTATACAACCCCTGGCAAAAATTATGGAATCACCGGCCTCATAGGATGTTCATTCAGTTGTTTAATTTAGTAGAAAAAAAGTATATCACAGACATGACACAAAACTGAAGTAATTTCAAATGGAAAGCAGTGTTTTCAACTTTCTTTAAAGGCTGACATGAAAAATAAGGTATGATCATCAACAGAAGTCATAAAATACCTACTTTACTATTTGAATATAGTGGTCATCAAATAATTAGGCTGATAAACCAGAGAATATTTGGGAGGAAAAGAACAAGTTTGCTGTTGCTTATTAGACATTTTTACAGAGGTGTACTATTTGTCTTTGAGTCACAGCATTTATGGACATCTAAAGAGATCAAAGGGTCATCTGACTGATGGCCTTTACACAACTTTAACTTCATTCCAAAATCTTCAACCTTCATGTACAAGTTGGGATTTACATCAAAACATGTAAATGGATTCTCTTTGAGTCAGTGTAGCTACCAAAGCAGGAAGCCAGAATTTTACAAATGACTCACTCCTGAAACCACATCTTTCGGTTTATTAGAAAAATACATCAGTGTACAGTGTAAAATAACTTAGTCTCTTCTCCTTCAGATTGAGCAGGTCAGAGTTTGGAGGAGTCTGCTGTAAACTGGCTCTTTGAGCTGCCTGTGTGTGGAAGTCAGTGAGCTCAACAGCTCTGTTGTGTGTGTTAAACACACATGCAGCTTCTGTGTTTCTCAGGTCAAATATCATTAAACAAACCAGCGAGGAGGCTTTTGGCCTCTTTGTATCAAAGCTTGACCGGGTGCTGATTCCCTCTCATAACTTAGTATTTCTCCCCTGGACTTTGGAGACGACCTCTCTGTGAATCTTGTTAGGGAAATCAATATATGTATAATCACTTTCTTAATTTATCTCTGCTAACTTTCCACAAGTGAATATTTTAAAGGTTCTTTTTCTTTCTCATGGGACTCTTTCCTCCTTCTAGGTCTCAGAGAGGGTCTCCTTATACTTTCTCTCTTAATGTTTTGGCTGGAGGGTTGTTTGGTACAGGTGCAGGTTACTCTATGATGGGAGGCAGATTTTAGCCCTCTTCTCAGGCTCAGAGAGGGGTATAAAATGTACTATGATTTTGTTTTACTTTGGGGCAGTTTGGTACGTCATACTTGTATGGTCGTGCTGGCTGCTCTCACTTCATGAAGTTTTCCCTTTCCCTTTTAATACATTTCTATTTCTTACTTCCTCAGATGGACTCAGACTTTTGCTTTAAAATAAAATGTCCACAACAGTCCTTCCATTGGGAAACGTGTTCAGGGCATCCTCAGTGTGTCTCGTCTTTGTGGAAGAAGACATGGATGAAGCATGGATAATCTGGATTAACACTCCCTCTAGTGTCCAAAGTGTGCAACACCACAGGAACCTGCAGGCCACGTTTTGAAATACACTTAAATTTTTTTACAATTTACAGGAACATGTGTAGTTTCTGGACAGTAGGGTGATGTGGACAGAAAAGGCAACCCGACATTTTACAATGACCAACTTCAAGTTGTGCCCTGGTTTGCTCATAGTGTCACTGTCTCATATCCAGACTTATTTGTCTTTTCTTTGGTTATACATAGTCGTCACACTTTTCTATATTGTTTAATTGTAAGTGGTGCAGTTGACCTGTTTTTTGGAATTACTTGCATGCAGAGTTAGTTTTACTGACGTCAAACCCTTTGTGAGATTGTCTTAAATAACGATAATGAATCCTGTCCACTGACTGGCTTAGTTCCAGCCAAGGTGAAAACAC